TATGTCAAGCCTGGTCGTGGCTTATCTGGTAGAGATGAGACACTTGATCGACCAGCAATCCGTAATTACAATCAATCTCGATTTCGAACGTTATCGGCCGCAAAGGCGATGCGCATCCGACTCATGAAACATGACCTGTGCGCAGAACGAAAATGGATCCAACCTCTCAAACTCTTCTGGCCAAGGGAACAGAAAATCGCTTGATCACATAAGCATGACTTCACCTAGCAAATTTTGGTTATATACGCCAAAAAGCGTACAAATTTCAAATTCTCTCGGACTCAGTAGCAAACATCTGACTCATCCACCTTTCTGTCTAATCCCGTTGAATTTTCTTCACATAAATGTGATTGAAAATGCTTGAAAAGTAATTCACCGAAAACATATTCCCTTACATTGTGTGTTTGAACAATTCCACAGAAAGTGGGCACAACTATATATGAACAGGCAAATCGGAAGACAAACACTGCGAGAGGAATTCCTTTCGTATACTCTCATCAGTCACTCACGTATAACATGGAACAAGATAGACAGATGAAGCGAATGAAGAAATCTAGTAAGTATTAAACATGTGTGTNGATTGGTTACAGCCAGGGAAGGCCAAGGGTAAAGGTCATACGCTTTTGGACGCAGAGTGTGGGTTTGTTGTGAGCGCTCGATAATGCCTCGAGTATCCTTAGTCGGTGTTTGTCTCGATGACGTAACAAATCTGAGAGCGCGTTCGTAAGGTCTACCCTATGGCCGCTTTCAACCAAGTGACGTGTGATGTCCGAAGTCGGTCTGCGTGATGCAGTCAGAGTGTGTGATGTGGGCTGAGTCATACAGTCACGCACATACTTGGGGATGTGTTCAGCCATTCTAGTTCGCAGTGATCGGTCGTTGCAGTCATAACAGAAGGCGTAAATGCAATACGTACGCGACCGATGAGAGCATACCAAATGAATTCCTCTCACAGTGTTTGTCTTCTGACTTGTCTGTTCAAATTCATTCCGGGATCCAAATGTTTCAGTTTTCTGAAAAAAAACATCCATAAACATGTATTTCAAGGTAATGGAATGTATTTTGTTTAAATGTGTATTAAACTGAATGAAGAAGGTAACAGCACCAAGTGGCCCGATTCATTCTGAATAACCGTTCATCGGTCTGTGCGCACTTCGAACTCCAGATCCTTCACTTAGAGGACGTATATTTGATACAGCTGCAACCACAGTTCACGGACAGTGTGTGTGTGTGTGTTTGAAACCACAAACGCGGATTCACTTTTTTCACGCATTATTCTCCACCAAAGTCCGTTAGTTCATCTTTTATCGTATGATCCAGAAAAATGGACAGATTGCCTGTTGAATCTAACTTACGACTTATTCCCATATCACCCATGTAGCTTCAGAAANCAGAGATACCCGTTTTCTTCTGTTCCATCCCCCCCACCCCCTCCCTCATGTATAGAGGAAGTTCTGATCGTTCGATTTGCACAAACCTATCACCGATTTGAGACTATGCCCTGGAGTTGTTTTGCCTGAACGAATCGCGGTTCACGTTTCGCTTCTCAACAAGACAGATCTGGTTCATGTTGGAATTGGTTGTTCGCTTTTTTTTTATGGAAAAACAAAATTCATTTTGAAGAGAATCTTCGCTTATTAATTTGAACTTACTACCATTCGAACGGCATCTTCAAACTTTTAGAATTCCAGAAGGTGAAAGTAAGCTTGTATTTTATCAATAACGTTCAGGTTATCGGTAAATAGTCATTCATACAGCAAAATATCTCATTTTGAACGGGTTTTCAGAATTTCCACATACACAAAAGATAGGTGATGGAACGGTGAACCGTTAGGTGCGCATTCTTGTATTTACCATATTGAATAGCACCAGTTTGCTCCCACAGGTCTAGTTCAATTTTGACCGTTGAAAGAGACTATTAATCGGCACCTTTTTGAGAACTACTTACAAGTATGAGTAGTATATCCCAAGAAACAGCACAAAATCCTTGATTCATTTAGTCAATCATACCATTAGAGACCCGAGTTTCGCTCTCCTTAGAGCTGATCATTAGTGATAAGGAACCATCTCGTCCGGAGTTTTCACTCCGGGCTTATCTTTTAGAAGACGAATGGATTACCGGTGATCCAACCGGCTCAGGTTTTGTTTGTTATCTTCGCCATATTTGCCGTGGTGTGGAGGACGATAACACAATCATATTTAATTCATCTAGCAACATCATTTCTTGTGCATACAACTGAACGCTGTATACATTTGCAAATGGAAATACTGGAAGTGGCAGATAACACATAGGCCCTACTTATTTCCAACGTATATTTGTGAAGTTCCTTGTGATTCTCTCGCACGTGGTTTGAAATATGCAGATAATGTTGTCTTGTGCCAACTCATTTCTTCCTTCACTGATAATATTCGTCAAATTCAGTCATCCTCCTGCTTATTGGAATACACCTTATAAACCCCAATGAATGTGCTTAATATTTATATAGTTTTACGCACTCTTGATACCCGACAAACCACATAGTGATAAATAACAATCCTTTATCTAGGTTGAATTCTGTCAATTACCTTGGTGTAACTATAGATAACAATCTTCATTGGTCAACCCACATCAACAGCTGCACTTGTAATCTACGACGCCCATTATTTCAAATTTGAAAGCTCAGGGAGTTTCACGCTTCCCGGTCAGTTATTTCTACTTTTTTATATCAGTGTGTTTTCCCCATTTTATTTGATTATACGTTAGTTGTTTTCTCTGGCTGACTTAAACAGGATTCAAAAGTCTTACTCCTAAGGTCTAACTGTTATTAGCAGCCTTTCTTCTATTCCTGTGATAGATTTGACTGTGAAACTTTCAGAGTATCACGTAACTTTCAGTGTAAAAATCGCTCAGAGGATGCTCACAGATCCTGATCATCCATTGCACACAGAACTTGTCCCTGTCATTCCTCATCACACTCCGAATTTCCCCCGGGTTTCATCTCGAATTGACGCTTACCGAAATACACCTATACCCTGTCTTGCCCGTTTACTCACAAACAAAGAGAGAGGGAAAACACGTGAACTTTGTCTTATCATTGGACTGCTAACTAACCATATATATGCATAAACTATCCCTCACCCGTGGAATATGTATGGGCTTTTAAACTGAATCGTAAGCTTCGGAGCTTGCAAAAGTTAAACGTAAAACAATGCAACACAGTACAAATGGAAAATACATTGACTAAAATAAATAAATAACTGATCATGAGTTGACACTAGTTTGTCAAATATCGCACCATGAAATATGAGCAGTTTTTCGGAGTTAGCTAAGTTCAAAATAGTCTAAGAGGTTCTATATATATCGCTATGCAAAAAAAACTCTGAAAGATGGCGCCACCGAAGGGTAATAGATTTAAAATTCCACGTTTCTGGTAACTGCTTTGAATATTTTGTTATTAACATTGGTCCTTTGAAGGTTGTGATTGATGGGTCTCCGCCTCATCGGCCTAATTCAACATCTTTGGCATACGAGAAGAACATTAAGTTAATCAATTGAAGTGAACAAAACGTGCACATGAAACTAAAGATTACCAGAAGATCGAAGTTGAAGAGCAACTTTACGACGGAGGAATGGATTGCATCAACAACTTTTGAGCGCATAAAGTCGGACGAATTAAGTGAATGACGAGTGCTTTACTAATTGCCAACCGTTTGGGACTAAAACCAACAGTTTCCGTTTCCGTTTTTACAAACATTAACCATGCACTTTCGCTCGCCGCTTTTGGTCACTGTCTTTTGGTGCCCTATTTGGATAAAAGAGCAGCATTGTTTCTAACCATCGGTGACCATGATCTCGAGGTCCCTAACTAGGGAGCCTAACAGGGCCTATATGACCTAGTCTCCTGGCAAGGGCTTTTATACCCTCATGCCTGGTCTTCGTTTGACCACCCTTGACCTTTTGTCAACCATTACCTGCATCGGCAAAAACATCGCTCGCCGATGTTTATATATATGGACTCCTATCGGCTTCCACGGCATATAGTCTAATAGAGATATTTGTTTATCTTGTGAGGAACTGTGGTGATCTTAGCCAACGGGATAACACAAGCCNAAGCCACGGAGCGACGAGCCACAGTTTCTGCACAATGAACCACAGGCCGATCGTATCGACCAATAAGAAGTCCTGCGGTTCAAACAGAAGCTGTTTAACGTCAAGAATACTAGCAGGCGATTGGCGGATACCTGTATTACCCAAAAATTTCCTTTGTACATGTTATTTAATTCGTTTGATTTCGTTCATTAAACCAATTGCTACTTCCGGGTTCTTTTTCTTGTGTCTAGATCACATGCAATACCCGCTTGCAAGTACTAGATTTGTACGATTCAATATTTTCGTGGCTTCCATGATTGTTGATCTGTGACTAATTCAACTACTGCACGAATGCTGAATTTATTTCTGTTTTCATACATTTCTATTTCCATTGGACAGATGCACACAACCGTTGAAACTTTAACTTTTGCGGACATAAAGTGCTCGTTAAGTTCACTTTAACGACAGCTTTATCTTGTTAAGTGTTCGCATTATTCATCACCATTCAGTATCTGACAATCTAAACCGAACAAGATCCGTTTTGACCATAACCAACAGAATAAAAAAAAACATGTGATATAGAAACAAAATGAAGTTATATTGTGAAGGAGACAGAGAGAAAATAGTGATAATGAATAAAGCATCAAAATAGAGACCAGTTTAAAGTCAATCAATCAAAACTGAATGCGATGAGAAGACAAAATTAGTTCTCGGCAAAAAAATGATTACAAAATACAAAGTCAGACAGTTAATAGAAAACGGTGATCGCTTTGTGCGAAACACTTTCATTGTCCAAATATGGCTAATAGGTTTGCTTGAGTAAGTTGTGCTTGTTGATCGTTAACACACGCACAAATCTCTCAGACATATTGTTCTATCCGCATAGGTTTTGGTTTACTCTTTTGGGATCGACTTTTCGAGCATTCACAAACTATCTGGTTGCCACTCCAACTTCCTCGTAGTCCCGTTCCAGCGCCGCCAAATCTTCCCTGGCCACTTTGAACTCGTTTTCTTCTAACCCCTCACTTACATACCAGTGCACAAAAGCTCGTTTGTGATACATCAGATCAAATTTCCGATCCAGACGCGCGAAAGCCGCTCCGATTGCTGTACTATTTGCCAGCATACAACACGATCGTAACACTTTGGCCAGTTCCGACCGTGGAACGGCAAGCATTGGTTGTGAATTGATATCCACCTTGAATCCGGTCGGACACCAGTCCACAAAGCGTACAGATCGACTGGCTTTGATCCCCTGAATGGACGCGTTTACCGAGTTCGGATCAACCTGTCCACGATAGAGCATACAAATGGCCATATACAAACCTTGTCGTGGATCAATTTTAACAAAACTGTTTGCCGGTTCAAAACAAGCACGAGTAATCTGATCCACACTGTTCTGTTCGTGATAGGCTTTCTCGGCCGACACAACCGGATTGAATGTGATGAGGGGGAAGTGAATACGGGGATAAGGGACGAGGTTTGTTTGAAATTCCGTCAGATCTCCGTTCAATGAGCCGTGAAATCGTAAAGCCGCGGTCAATGAACTGATAACTTGGGCCAGGATTCGATTGATATTCGTAAATGATGGTCGGCGAATATCTAAATTCCGACGACATATATCCCATACGGCCTCGTTATCCATGAGAAAGACTACTTCAGAATCTTCAATACAAGCGTGTGTGGCCAGAACGGAATTGTACGGTTCTACAACGGAACTGGCCAATCGTGGCGCTGGATAGACAACCAGTTCGATTTTCGTCTTTTTCCGATAATCCTGTGTCATTTGATTGATGATTAACGATGCCAAACCGGACCCGGTCCCACCACCGAGTGAATGGAATATGATAAAACCTTGTAACATATGACACTGATCCACAACCAACCGAATCTGATTCATGATCAGTCCCAATAGATCGTTTCCGATTGTGTAATAGCCCCGAGCATAATTGTTTGCCGCATCCTCTTTGCCGCTGATCAAATTTTCCGGATGGTAAAGCATACGATAATAGCCTGTTCGCACCTCATCTGTATAGGGGGAATGTCGGGAGAAGTGAAAGCATAAACCCATCAGATAACAGGAACCAAACAAGTAAGTGTATGCATCAGCATCTCGGAGACCACACCATAGTCGGGCTTTTGATAGGCCCTGGTCGAGTTATCAGTTTTCCTAATGCAAACGCAGTCATGAGTTCAATAACGTCCATTGTTGTATAGCTTTACCCCGGCTTCGTGGCACAAGCCCACAAGCTCACTGTCACCCTCCACTGCTCCGTGCATTCGCGTATGTATCTATGAGCCCACAGCAAGAGGGGACCCCCGAGTAAGCATCAGCCCATTTTGTTATCGAGTGTTGGGACCAGCGCACACAAACACAAGCCCATGCGCGTGAATGCCTCAACAGACTGGTCACTGAAATGACCTTTAAGATCTTTTGACACTACGTCACTGCCCCATCTCGAATCACTATCAGAAAATGTCCGATTGATCGTGTGATAAATCTATGATCATAAAATATCAGAACGAATGGGTTTGAATTAATTGGAATGCAATATTGCGCAGTGAAAGGCTTCATTTGGACAAACCCTATCTCACTGAATGGGTTTTATTGGGGTCTGACTGTTTTGAGTCAAGATTCTTTGGCATTCGATAGTTGACAGATTCAACTTTAGACGAGAATGAACGAACACGGAAGCTGACTTCGATCGGTCGGATAAGAAATTCAAGTCAAGATGGATCGATAAACAGTTAACTATAATAATAATAAAAGTGATCATGTCACCTCGGTTGGTGATGAAATATTTGCAAACAAATTACCAAGCTCGACGAACAGATAAAATGGAATAATAAATGTTTTAATACCTTTTACATTTGTTGAGTATTCAAATGTACAGTCAACTTGTAGGAAGGAGAGCGCAATCAATCAAACACTAATTGCGGAAATTGCAGAAATAAAAAAGATAGGTGACCGTGTTGGAATTCGAACACAGGACCTCTAGGTCACTATTCTGATGGTCTTAACAACACGATCTTGTGTACATACGGACAAGAACCGTTGAATAGACTGTTTCAGCCTAGGTCTTGAATGTATTGGTATGCAAAATTCCAATAAAGCCGTGTCTGTCTTGAAAATAATCACTTATGTAGTTCCAAAAGCCAATTTTTGAACATTGATCGGTTAATCTGATAAAAACCTTAACAATGACATTCAAATACGAGGTCCCTTGCCCGGAAGAAGCTCGCGAAGATGGGTTTTACGATATTGTATATATTCCAAATGAGCAACGGTCTGATCAGCTGCCCAGCGGGCATGGGTGGGTAGTATGCTTGCGTTCTATCTGTGAGGTCTCGGGTTCGATCCCCAGTTGAGTCGATGGATTTGTACTGCCGATGAAAATGAATCAGGTTAAAATAGCTGTCCAGTGCTTCCCTGCGTTTCATCACACGCCTCATTCACACAACGAATTCATCATCTAATCTATGGAATAATAGAAATCTGTTTTTTTATCATTGTGATTCCTGAATCATTTACTGATTATTTTTTTGGAAACTACTGCCTGAGGAGAAACTCGCACATAATGAGGTACGTTATTAAAGATTTCATTATAAATACAGGACTGTTGCTTGTTTGTTATTTGAGTAAATAATGTCGAATTTTACTTTGTGTATTTCAAAGAATTCCCTCGAAAGCGGTATCAATCAAGTGACCGTCGTGTTTGTCGTTTCGCTCTGTGACAAAAATAAGTTTGAACCTGATGCAATGAATATTGTGTTTAAAAATGCATCACACGATGCTCCTCTCGACAATGATCAATCGTGCGTGATATTAGAGCTTTGAAATGTATTTGTTACAGGCAATCCCTTAGCAAGTACGTAAGACGAAGACAGTTTAGTGTCATGCTCACGAGTTGAACAAACACTTATTTTTACGTCCCAACCTATTATTGGTACCATTTCTTCATTATCCGAGCGCTTACCAGACGTAAAACGACCAGGTGCGTAGCTCGTAGCTTCCGTAACAAGTCAAACTGGAACCGCTCTATTTGTAACGGACTATTTGTGATACATGTCCCCCCCCCCCCAGTATTAGTTGTAGTAATTGTAGTAGTAGTAGCACGCAATAAACACAAAACACGAATCACGGAATACGAATCAAGGATTTGGAATCACGGACTGGATCACGTAAGCACTGGATCGCGTTGGCACTTGCACGCAATGTCCCAGGAAACCGAGACTCGAGGAAACGGCCACAGGAACAGTAATTCGCTTATTCAAAGAAATAAAAGAATTAAATAATATGAACAAAACAAACTCATTGATCATCTGGGCGTCTGCCAATAGCGTTCTAGTATTTCTGCCATTGTTCAGCTTCTGCCTGGGCCGCACGGCTTCTCATTGGCTGGCTATGGTATTTAGTCCAGAAACTGTGGTACGCACGCGCTTTGCTGACGTCACCCGGGAAGTTTGATTGATCGCAGTTGTCCAAAAGCTGTAACACGTTGCTCCGGGGTGTGCGTCATCTCGCAGACTGAGATCACCACACCCAATCAGCAAAGGAAAAACTTGTCTCGAACCTAGTGCTCAATGGTATACTTTTGATGAACAGCATACCGTTCAAAATTCTATTAAATTCACCCAGGTTTCTGCAATTCCTCGGCAAACTCAAATACCCACAATGACCAAATTTGGTATGATGATACAGTTATCTAAACCACAGAGGAGCCAAACGGATTTTGATTATAACATAGTCAACCGGATTCGTCTTAGAGAGTGGGCATCAGCGGCTGTGAAATGCTATCACTCTACATCAGAAAAATGATGTGAATATCAAAGTTGGTACATAACGCATCGCCCTTAAATTATTCATGACTGAAATACAAAACAACTGATTCAAAAGAACAGATCTCAATAACCGTTTGGCTTTTCTGCGGATAAAAATAGATTGTCGGTGTTCGAACATCGCTGTCTACGCCGCATTGCACGAGCCTGGTGGGTACCCGGACTAACAACGGTGAGGTTAGGCGTAGAGTTTGAGGCAGTTGCGGTCATCCACTGGAGCAAGTGATCGACCTGCCTAGATTACGTTGGTTGGGACATGTGTTACGCATGTCACCAGATAGGTTGCCACGGCGAGCGATGTTTGCTGAGGCAGATAGTGGATGGAAAAAAGTCAAAGGTGGTCAAACAAAGACCAGGCACGAGGGTATGAAAACCCTAACCAGGAGACTAGGTCACATAAGTCCCGTTAGGCTCCCTGGATGGAGACCTCGAAATGATCGTAACCGATGGTTAGGGACACTGAATGATATGGCTGGGTGTCGTAAACAGTGGCGCTCGTGCATCCACCCATTATTCCCCTATCACTATTCGGTATGAATTCTCCATCTTCCGCTTGAATTAGCTTTCAACATTCCAATCTTTATTCTTCTCTTTTATCCAAATGGGGCACCAAAAGATAGCAACGAAAGCCGGCGCATGAAAGTGTATGGTTAAAGGTTGTAAAAACTGAAGCTGTAAATGATTCTTCGGAGTATGAATATTCGGTTTTTCTTCTGTTGACTGTCAGCCAGTACAATTGGGTGTTAAACTACGGTGTGATCCTACGGGATAAAGCAAACCAAGGAGCGACACTTTACAGTTTCTGTACAACGAACTACAGGCCGACCGTGCCGACCAATTAGAAGTCGTGTGGTTCCCACAGAAGCTGTATGTCGTCGAAAATGCAAGCACGCGATTGGTGGATACCTGTATAACCAATAAACTTTCACTATATAAGTTATATAATCCACTTGGTTTTTTTCAATAAACCAACTCTGACTTCTGTGAACTTTTCCCTGCGCCTTGATTACGTGTGATATCAGCATGCAAGCGGAAGTGCAATTCAGTGTTTCCCTTGCTTTCGTGATTCGTGATCTTTACCTATTTCAACTACTACAGTATTTCTCACCATGCTGCGACGTCTTTCCTTACACAATCTCGCTTAGAAGAACTGTTTAAGGAATGTGTCGACCATTTAAAACTGACAAACAGCGATTTCACAAATAGGATAAGGCAACCGCAAAACACTTTATTTCCAATTACACATCGACTTTTTTCGTCAGCGTCGACCAGCTGTTCACGTCAAGAGTTGAACATCATATCATTCCGTACGAAATGATACAAACTTTAATGGACCATATAACTCACATGTTGGACGAAAACAGTCTCAAAGTCAGTAATCTATCAAATTGGACGAGGAAAAGTGAGTCATGGGACAAGTTATCTAGTGCAGCAGAGAGCGACAATTGGGCGGGTATCGTGCTTCTAAATCGAATAGATTATTTGAGTTCTTTGATCTGGTGATTTGATTGCATCAAACTACGTACAAAGTGTATGGTAAGATTGTTTACCTGACCTTCATCCCGGTTGGGTCATTGGTGTGTCCCCACATACGACTTACAGTTTTAGACGATCAGATTTATGGACATAAGGATGTTGTGGCCATTTGGTCCGCACCAGGACCATTATTTGTTGTCTAAAATAACCAAATCAAATAGTCTATTCCGGATTGGATGCTATACACACAATATATGGATGATGTTCTTTGCCTGATAAACACGAACTCAGGAACAAACAAGGTATGGAGCAAGTTCAGTGCTGTTCATCAAAACATAAAATTCATTTTAGGAATGGAAAACAATAACAAACTGGCATTTCTGAACGTTTGTCTGAGCCGTAGAACGGATTTCTCGCTGCAAAGATCAGTGCATAGGAAGGCGACTTGAACGGGCCAACATATCCATTTTCCTATCGTTCTATCGCTTTAGGTGAAGAGGAATCTGGTACATCACCTAGCTGAACGGGCTAGAAAGATTTGTAGTGAGGAAATAATAAAAGAACAGCTGCGGTTCTTACATACTATCTTCGAACATAATGGCTGTCTGGAAAAACTGTTTAGCAAGATGGTTTGGTGCAGTGGATATTGTGAAGAAGACCGAAGTCCGAAAAAATTATTTTCAAGGGGAATAAATCAGCAGAGGCAATACGAA